GGAAAGTTGGAGTTACAAAGCTTGTATATAAGTCCGTCGTGCCAGACATTGTCAAACGCCTTTTCGACGTCTAACAAGGCCATGGCTGTGGACTTGGATACAGCTTTGTTACTCCGGATGTTATTCATCACCCGCACTAGCTGATGATTGGTGGAATGCCCCTTACGGAACCCGAACTGTTCCGGAAGAAGAATGTCATGTTCCTCCACAAACTTGTTTAGTCGGCTGAGGATCAATTTTTCGAACAGCTTGCTCAGCGCTGAGAGCAGGCTAATCGGTCTGTAGCTTGACGGTAGTGAAGGGTCTTTCCCAGGTTTGCGGATCGGGATGATTTTTGCCACCTTCCAGATGCTTGGAAAGTAGTGCAGCTCCAAGCATCTGTTGAAGGTGGCAGCTAGCAGCGAGTGCACCCTCGGGCTGAGATTTTTCAACGCTAGGTTGAATATTCCGTCAAACCCGGGAGCCTTCATGTTCTTACTGTATTTCAGCGCTGAGCAAATTTGTTCCTCTGTAATCCGTTCTTCTGGAGGGACGGCACAAGGGGAGGCATCTAACGTCAGGACGCACTGCGCAACCTGGTTCTCGAGTGGACTTGGGATTTTAGAGCCAAGCAAATGCGACTGGGCAATGTGCTCCCCAATCGCATTGGCCTTCTCTTCGTTGGTGATAAGCCGTTCGTCATTGACTCTAAGTGGTGGAATGGGCTTGGGGTGAGACTTCAGCACCTTGGCAACCTTCCAGAATGGTCTGGAACGGTCGTCCAGGTTCTGGACGAGCCGCCCGAAACTCTCGTTCCGGATTGAGACCATTCTGGAAGCGATCTGCCGATTCAGATCGACCATTTCGTATTTACGCTGCAGATCCCCAGTCCGCTGAAACTGGCGTCTACGAACATTTCTGAGCCGAATCAAGAGTTTGGTGTGGGAATCAATTGCTTGAAACTTACCCCTCACAGGAACTCGTCGAACGCACTCTTCGTCAGCCACGGATATGGCTTGATGGAGACCCTCCAGGGCCCGGTCGATGTCCTCCATTGTGTCGAGCGGTGGGTTGTCGTCGATGTGGCGGTCGACCACGCGTCGAAACTGGACCCAGTTGACTCGATGGTAGTCCTTCCGCTGGCACGGTGCAGGGGCCACGTTGTAGCCCAGCTCGGTCAGCACCGGTTGGTGGTCCGAACTCAGGTCGTTGACGGCAACCGGCTTGGCTAATCTGGTGTTTGCCATGAACAGGTCCAGCGTCGATGGGTTGCCCGTCGGTGATGTGAAGGTTGGTTCGTCCGGAAACCAGACGGAATAGAGACCATGCTGGGAATGGTCGAATAGCAGGCGGCCGTTCTGGTTCTGCTGGTAGTTCCGCCAGGCCTCGTGCCGGGCGTTCAGGTCCCCTCCGATTACAAAGCGGGCATTGGTGTGGGTTATGATGGCAAGGTCGTTCTTGAACTGCTGTGCTGTACCATTGCTAATGGTACATTGCCGGGGGCAGTAGACGGCGATGAACCGGACGTTTCCGGTCGATGTTTCCACCTCAACGCCGACGGCCTCGATGATGGAAGTGCGGTAGTGGGGTAGGGTGCAGTACTTGATGCCTTTCTTGATGATGACCGCGACACCGCCTCCCCTGGAGCTGGTGCGATCAAGCCGGACAATGCTGTGGTCGGGCAGCCAGAAGCTGTCACCGGTCTTGAGGTGGGTCTCGGTGAGAAGGCCCACGTCGATGTCGTGCTTGCGGAGGAAGTCTGCAAGCTCAATGTTTTTCGCCCCTACGGAGCGAGCGTTCCAGTTGGCGATCTTTATGGGTTCACGGTCCATAATTAGCGACAAAGGAGATGATAGCTTGGAGCTGTTGTGTTCTTGTTGCGCAGGTGCGCTTGATGATGATGGCCTGGGCCAACAGTGTGACGATCTCATCCGTTGACAGCGGAGAATCGTCTGTAGCTTCACCGGTTGTACCGGCCAATCCCGGAGCAGGGGGATCCGTCGATGGCCCGGAGGCTTGCCGGGTACTGCAGCGGCAGCCAACTGTTGGTTGAGCGGGAGCGGCGGCAACACTGGAATTGGCCGTGGTTGGACCGGTGATAACGGAGGAAAGTTCTGCGCGTTGTTTTCCGGGACCTTCTTGCGACCGGGCTGGTTGTTGGATGAGGCCTTCTTCCGGATCTCGGCGTATTCGGCCCGCTTCGGACAGGCCTTACTCGTGGCCTTGTGGGCAGCACCGCAGTTGGCGCATGTGGGAGCGGCTTCCTCGATGCTGTCGCAGTCGTCGATCTTGTGGTTTTTGCCGCATTTGATGCAGCGGCTGGCCATGCGGCAGTTCCTGGTGCCGTGCCCGAACAATAGGCAGTTCGAGCACTGAGTGACGCCACGGTGGGTTGGCTTATACCGCTCCCACTTCACTACGATGTGGAACAGTGTGCGTGTCGTATGGAGATCCTTCACGGTTGTGGAGTTCTTCTGCAGATGGACCAAGTAGAGCTGGTCACGATACTTGATGGCCTTGCTGCGGGTCATCTTGTGGATTTCGACCGGCTTGAGGCCGTTCGCCTTAATCTCGTCCATTAAGGTGGTGGTGTCCATGTCGTGGAGCCCGCGCAGCACCACTTTCAGCGGCTTGGTGGCCTCGACGTCGTGGGAGAAGTACTCCAGCTTCATCCTGTCCAAGAGGGCCTGGACTGCGTTGTAGTGATTTTCGGCCGAGACCATCAGTTTGTAGCCTTCCGTGCACCGTTGAATGGTGCAGCGAAGGCCCTGCTTAATGTAGAAATCCAGCTGCTCCCATAGCCCGGGAGGGAAGCCCTTCACATAGAAGGGTGGCAACTTAACTTTTTTAGGCACCGTCTCAGGGTCCGACTGCGGCTGGGCTCCGTTCTGCAGGGCGGAGAACGGATTGTTGCTCAGCAGCTTTTTTGCTGCCGATGCGGTGGCGCTGATGTCTTCAGGTCTGGGTCGTTTAGTTCCGGGAGGCCCCGGCTGCGGGTCCGCAACGCCTGTCGGGACGGGCAATGGGGTTTTCTTCTGCTTCTTCTGAGCTGGCTCGGTGGTCGCGCCGTCTCCTGGGAGAGTCTGTTTTCCCGGTAAGCCGGCACTCGCGTTACCGCGCGATTTCTTACCCATGGCTGGGACAGCGAGAGCGTCACTATACAACGCGGAGCTAATTCGACTTGCGAACGAACGAACGAAACTAGAGAGAATTCAAATCGACTGAACTGCTCAACAGTCTGGCAGCGAATGTGATGAGCCCGGGTGGGGCACTGCTGCTGCTTTTATGGAGATGTGCTTTCCTCGACGTCCGCCAATTGAATGCCGGGAAAAATGATAATGCTTGATCTTATAGTCAAGCAATCGTAATCATCCAGTTTTCGGAGGACACAAACAGATGTGATTAAACAGTAAGTTTACTTTTAGTTGTTATTTTATATTTTATTATTATTTATATTATTATGAAAACACAGCATCACTTTCCTACACTACCCACGAAAGAGCAGCTTGGCACAGCTTCTCTTGAAGATGGCTGGAGGGACATCCGTTCCTCCATAGGTAGTACTGCTGCAGCGGCACTAGGTACTGCAATCCCGGACCGAAGAAATGACTGGTTTGACGGCGAATGCAAACTGTTAGTAGAGGAGAAGAATGCATCACGTGCGAGAATGCTGCAACACCACACGAGATTGAATATGAAGCGATACAGACAAGCGCCGAACAGACAAAACTCGGTTTTCCGAAGGAAGAAACGTCAGCAGGAAGACCGAGATCGCGAGGCGATGGGAAATCTGTACCGCGTAAACGACACACGGAAGTTCTACGAGAAGCTAAATAGTTCGCGCAAAGGCTACGTGACGCAAGCCGATATGTGCAAGGACTTGGACGGTAACCTTCTCACAAACGAGTGTGAGGTGATGGAGAGGTGGAAGCAGTACTATGACGAGCACCTCAACGGTGAAGCAGCAGAAAACGAAGGTGGCACGGCAACAGACCTTGAAGCACGCACAGAAGACGACAGGCTACCGCCCCATGATCTTCAAGAAGTTGAAGAGGAGATCGGTCGGCTGACGTACTTTCGAACTTTTCAGTCTGGGAGCACTTAATATTATATGACATGTTTGTTTACGTTTCATCCTTTATGCCAAAGATGGATTCCGTCACGTGTAAGATTAGGTATTTAGGTGTTTAGTTTAAGATTTGTCACACATTTCAAAACCTTCCTTCTTCCTCCCTTAGAGTGTGACGTACTTAGTGAATCGTCTCTTGGTGATGCTTATAGATCACGCATGGATCAATATCGAAAGTATTTTAGAGCATCGTTATATTAACAGTAGCCGTCCCATTTTTTTCACGGTTCGGGTTTGGCACCAAAACCAAAAAAACGTTCGTTTTTGGCACGGATTTTGAAAATAAGGCATGTTTGCTCCTTGTGATAACAATTCTCAATAAAAAAAAATAATTATTAATAGCGGCTTTGTCATAACAATGACTCACGATGGTCCAAAATCAACAAAATCATAAAATAAATTTCAAAATAGACCTGTTCGATTTTGGCTACCCAACATTTTCTGGCATGTTGCCAAAATCGAACCGGTACTGTTATATAAATTAAACATTGTAATCTAGTCGGCAGAAGTTCACCAAATGTTCCACTCATCAGTTCTTTAAATTCTTTCCGGCTCTGACTCCAACACGTTGACTACGACTCCAACTCCACAGCCCTGGTTTCATTCCGTTATCATACATGGAACTTACTGATATGATTAAAAAAACAACTGCACTTATGAATATCAAAACGTGCCATTTGGTGATCTTAAGACTCTACGTTCCAACCACAACCACGACCGTAAAATATAAATTGCCTACGCACGGCAAGTGCAGAGCAAAAGATACTTATGGTATCCGTTTATTATCGTCTACCTAGAATGCGTCGGAATTTCCATTAAGGAAAAAGGATCCTTATTTACGGGAGCTAATGTAATTTATGATTAAAATTCACCTTTCTTTAATTATTTACAGATGCAAATGAGCAGAATTTGTGTCCGGCAAGCACTGAGGATAGCCTGGAAATCAATCTTCCAGGGACGGAGATAGAGATAAAAGCCCCAGAGAGCTGTACCTGGCCCAACGCATTACAGGTGAGTGGAAGGAAAAATATTTTCACATCACACCCAACTCGCGCTTAATTACGTTCGGAAAGTCCCTCGCAAAGTTAACACACAGAATAGGAACACCACAACTGCGATTGGATTTCTAGACAAGTGGGAAAGATTCTTCATTCTGCGTCCCTTCCTTTTTGGTTTGAAGAGGTGATAATGGATAATGGAAAAATAAAATTAGACGGATGCTCAGCTTTGCCGATGGGTGGTCTGAGCACAGCAAGAGGCAATTAACAGTGGTTACAATAAATCATAATTTATGCTAATTAGAAAGCACTGCAAAAGTCAGTAACCATTATTCATTTGAATGGCACTGGACGGCTGGAGTCTGGCAAACGGACAGTGCTGTGAGGCTTACAATAGTAATGATGGAGAAAATGCGGAAACGATTTGAAGGCAGATTTATTCAGAATGAAACTCATATATTGATTGTGGCAAATTAATTCCCGAGATTTCGATTAAAGTAAGCTCCCGAAGATTGTAAGATTGATTGAATCTGTAATAAATCCCAGGTCATACAGATTCTCAAATATAGTTGTTGGAACATTATATCTTGCTGAGATCTCAACTAAAACTTATTGCCTGACACTCGCCGGTGGACAACTCGGCAAAAAACTGCCGATTCAAAAAACAAAACTAAGTATGAGGGGAATTCAGCGACAAGTGCCCGAGTATAATGCTATTAACCTCTTCCGATTTGGGTCAAATTGGGTGGAGAACAACTTCTAAAAATCCCACCAATCGATTCAGAGGAGAATTTCTGTGAATTATATTTTTCTTGACGTAGGGTTAACAGGTATAACACGACCCCTATAAGACGAAATGGTTATATTTGTACCGTTTTCATTTCAATCAATAGAGTAATGACGATGATCTGCTAATTTGGCAGTTAAAATAGAAGTTATGAAACATGTTTTCGACATTGCCCAAATACTAGATTTTTCAACTATGTGGTGTAATATGCCCCATCTATAATATAATTTGCTCGTACACGAAAATGACCATATGCTCTATACTAAAAGGATAGTATGCCATACAATGAAGTTGTTACATACCCAGAGCGTCAATATGAGATGACTCAGACTGCACAAAGATGGAATAAACATCTTTTTAAATATGCTTACCAGAAATCAATTATGTTTTTCAGAACTTCGTTTCCAATACTTATGCCCGGCATTCGGCAGCTGTCAAATTTACACAGTAGAGTGTTGCCTTCAAATACTTGGATTGGCCATTAATTTTGCATTTATATTATCCCTGGATTCGATGATAAACAATGGGACATATCGCCTCGTTAAAAATGGGGCATGTAACCCGTGCTTGAACCGAAGTAAGAAAATATACATTTTACTGCAAATGTAACATTTCATGCCATTGTTTCAAATGAGGCAGGCTTTTAAAACTTCACTTTATGCATTACCATAGAACAACCCAGTCTGACTAGCTTTTTTTTATCGCTAGAACGCTTACATAGGAAGGAAGCTTTTCATAATTTTGTTTTATTATTGATTCTAGACACTTGACAGCTGTCAAATTTGCGTAGTAGAGTGCTCTCACTAATTACTTGGAATTCCCATCTATGTTGCATTTCAATAAACGTTATATTCATAGAAATGCAAGGGGGCCTTTTATACACTCCTACCCTACTACTTGAGGTCAGCTTAGGCTGGGGAGGTTGGTGAGTGTCGACGGTCCATATAACTGTTTGCAAAAAAATGTATGAACGACTGTGTACTGGCGAGAGTCTAGAATCTCTACTTAGGTTATGGAACAACTGCAGCAAGATAATTAGGTTCTGTTGTCATATGGTAATCGAACAAGCAAGCTTTGATTTTTTTTTTCGTGCGGTATTGCCAAACATTTATTTTTTGCGCTTGAAATAAACGGAATGACTCCCACCACCTATGGATTTTCTTCAATTGTTCAGGGGAAACAGTTCTATTATTGCGGTACGTTAGAAGCGTTAGAAGCCTATTGTTGTGTATGGAGACCTCCATACACAACAATAGGCTTCTAACGTACCGCAATAATAGGACTGTTTCCCCTAATTAACTAACATAAAATTAGCTAAGCATCATTAACCATGGCGCCCTAATACAACAACATGTGATGGTTTACTTCAACTCCCTTCTATTGCTGACCTACTGGCATACGATCGCTAAATACAGTCAACGGCTGAATCTCTTTATGTAAAGATGTTATGCATAATTATATGTTTAATAGAAAAATATCAATAACTTTTCATCGGCAAGATACCGACAAGTTCTTCACGTCAAATGTTGCGTCTTCAAAACTTCTTAAAGTTGTCTGAAATCAAATTAGTTGATAAATTAAAATAAAAAAAGAGAAACTAAGTCAATTAAGGAAAATTGCTTGAAAGTGGTCAATTCAAATTCGAGAAATGTATGCTTTTATTTCTGCACATAAAAAAGGAGTTTGGATTCTAAGATGGTGGCCATCGGTTTATGAAAATATTTGAAATACTCCATAATATGGCTTTTCCAGGAAAATAATGTCATACACAGTTCGAAAAAGTAGTGTAAATTTCTGTTCAGTAGTATGATGCACATAAATGGAGCGTCACATATCATACAACTTTACAATTATATATCATGTAAAGTTCTGAGACATTTCATGCAATGTGGCAAATATTGTAAACAAAAACCCATTGTTGTAAACAACATTGTTTACAAGCTACTCGGTTGCGTGAAATTAAATACAATTTTACGTGAATGAATGTTTACATCACCATTAAAATTCAGATTTTTTATCTGTGTACATATGAAATAACTATGTCCGGGGGCGACCCCGGCGTAGTGGTTAGCATCCATACCTCTCACGCCAAAGTCACGAGTTCAAATCTCACCCCCGGACAAGTCACGAATGACCCAAGAGTGTTAAAGTGACTATAATAAAAAAAAAAAAAAAAAAAAATAACTACACAGTTCGAAAAAGTAGTGTAAATTTCTGTTCAATATGATGCACATAAATGGAGCGTCACATATCATATACGTTTACATTATATATCATATAAAGTTCTGACACATTTCATGCAATGTAGAAAATATTGTATACAAAAGCCCATCTTTGTACACAACATTGTTTGCAAGTTGCTCGGTTGCATGAAATGAAATACAAGTTTATGTGAATGAATGTTTACATCACAATTAAAATTCAGAATTTTTATCTGTGTATGTCCTCGTTCAGAGAATATCGATATTTCAGGAGGTATGATTTTTTCTCTTAAACCATTGGCATTCAAAAATGACAGCGAATATCGATATTCGACCACTAGACGTCATCCCCGTTCGGAAAATACCCATTTTTTTCCTAAAACCGACGGTTTTTAAGAAAACTGGAATCCAGAATGGCTGTGGGCATAAAATTTTGACATATACACGTCGTTTTCGTTTCTGAAATAGCCATATTGCAGGGTATTTGACAGTATTTCTAAAACCGATGGCCACCGTCTTGAATTCTAAAATGGCCTTCAACATCATTTTTCGAGCTCTACACGTCGTCCTGTTCGGAAAATACCTATATTGTAAGGTATTTGACAGTATTTATAAATCAGATGGCCACCACATTGGATTCCAAAATGGCATCTTGCATCGATATCCGGCATCTACACGGCCACTGTTCCGGAAATACTCACAGTGCACAGCAACATCGTATATGGGCAGGCTTTCGAGACATAGCATATTCAGGAAGTTCACATGCACACTAGTGCCACGTATTGAGAGAATTCTGAACTAATATCGTCACCATCCGAAAGACCGGGGTCATCTAAACAATTTAACTCAAGACAGAAACCTTCTATATGGCCAAGATCACGAGATACAGCTTGTGCTAGAATTCCATGGACACAATAGCGCCGCGTAGTGAGATAGTTCCTAACTATTATGGTCACCAATCTGAAAGGACATGGTCACCTGAACAACTTTGCTCCAGGCAGCAACTTTATATATGACCAGGATCAAGAGATATTCTATGTTGGACCCAAATTCCATGTATTTTAGTGCCCGTCATAAGTAAAATAAAAGTGAAGCGCCTCTAGCGGTGCAGTTCCCGAATGAACCTCAATCGAATGTCACAGGCTTGTTGGTCTAACCCAGTATAACAGCTTTTTCGAAACAAATGAGATAATCCACCACAGCCCCTATTAGTGAAAATCCCATCCCATCCCCCCATCCTTATTCTCGCCCCCGGCTATTAGGATTCCTTACCGTACTGTATTAGTTTTTTTTTCATTTGCCTGCCATTTTTGGCATCCCGGGAAACGGAAATTATTTCGGTTCAAAGCCTTGTGGTCTTTTGCGTAGATAATAAGTAGAATATATGGCATTTTTCATCACAATATTTTTTTTTCTCAACTTCTGTACAGCGATTTGTAATAAAGAATATAGTTTAAACACTTAATTTCAATATTTTCACTTTCATCGAAAAATTTCCCCGAGCTGCCAACGCTTTATCATCTGATTAATCCTGGATAATTTTTTTTTTCGACTTTATATATATTTGTTTTGATCCAGAAGATGTTACCGAACTCTTCTAAAATCCTCTTCCAATTTGCCATTAAATCAGATTTCTTCGGTAGTTTTTCTGGACTCCTCCAGAAATTTCCACTGGTTTCGATTATAAAATTCCTCTGACTTCACCTAGATCATTCTTTAAACTTCTTCTAAACGTTTCTGCAAACTTAATCCTTAGATGTTTCTGAGAAAGTTCTTATATAGTTCACCCAAACCCTTAAAACTCGGTAGTTCTCAAAAAATAACCATGCTCTTTCAAAACCAAAAAAATGAGACATTATTGAAAGTTACGTACTGACTTGTAGAAACTTGACATAACTTGAGTTTTATTTAGCTCTGTATTATTCTCAATATTGACGCATTTGTTTTCTTGATCAGAAGTGCAACGGATTGATACTAAAATTCAATGATTATTAAATTCCTATTTGACCTGCAGGGTAA